TATATATATGTATATGTATAATTCTCTATTTCCTAAAATAGATAGACTCCAACTTAACGAACATACTGTTCAGTTAAGTGAACGAAAATATTAACAAGTAAGTGAATACAGAAACGAAGCAGAGAGCAGGTTGAAAAAACCCATAAAACACACTGCAATCAACACATTTGGCGTGAACGACGGAAAACAGAAGAACCAAAAAAAAACCCGGATTTTTTTCAAATGGGAGAGAGGAAAACATTTACACTGCAATCAACACTTTTGGCATGAACAACAAAATCAAAAGAGCAGAAAGAGGAACAAGATTTGTTTTATTTTCAGAGCGAGTACCCAACGTCTTTCGATCGCAGACGGGGGTTCATCAGTGGTTTTGGCGGCTCAGCAGGTACGCACGCACGGTTCATCGTTTGCTCGGATAGTTGAGTAAATTGGTCGCTTTTAAGCACAATGGGGGCTGTCCCAAAAAATGCTGTTTTGAGAAAAACGAAGGTAAAGTTTTTGCCCCTTGTTCAGTTTCTTTAATAGACTAGGAGAGTTTTCCATATAACCAAACAAATAAACACTCCAATGAAACCAAACTTCTCCTATAGGTAGAGGGCAATGCCCACTTTTGGTGTAGGTCAAGATTCCGGAAAACCCCCAAAATCTGGGATAGCCTGCTTGTGCTTAAAAGCGACCAATTTAGATTCACTGTGAATACCTGTGAGCGATGGGATAATCATTATCTTCCCCATCGCCACCTTCTTGAATACCTGGATACCTGGAGCTGTCATCTCTGGCTCAGAGGTTAACTTGCAGTTCTTCTTCTTCTTCTTCCTTGTTCTCGATGACAGCAGCTATACAGTCAGTCCGATGTCGCGCACAAACTGTGCAGTCCGCTTCAAATCTGAGAGACTGCCATAGAGCTCTCTCTCAAGAGGAGTCACATTCTGCCACGCCTGTATACGAAGGGAGGCGTAGTGCGGGTAGTGCTGAAGGATATGGTTGGCATCCTCGTGGTCGTGTCCACATTCGCAGATCGCGGACTCTCCCACTTTCTATTTAGTGCAATGACGTGTAATGACCCGCTATTGCTCATGGTCGCTAGCTGCCGTCATGCACTCTGTCATACTTAGGCCAGTCCATGCCTTGGTGTTGTTGGTCCACATCATAATCACCATCATCATCATGGCAACAGATTTCATCGTTACCGTCTTTGTAAAAGACGTCAGATTTCCTCTCTCTTCTCTCTTCCTCCCGCTCCTGTCCCTCCTCCTCCACCTTTCATCCTCATCATCATCATCATCATCATCATCATCACCATCACCATCACCATCATCATCATCATCATCATCATCATCATCATCGTCATCATCATTACAATAACTTCTTTCCTACCGACTTCACCAATATCACCTTATCACTTTTCGCTAACCCCCTCCCCCTCCT